AGCCTCCAGGACATTACATTTCACCTCTGAAAATTTCACCTCATTTTCACCTCGCTTACTCACTGTTGAGTTTAACTTACACTTGACTGAAGAATCTTTGCTAGAAAGGCATCTAATCTTGATTAATTCAGGAATAATGGATCTACTAGATACCTTGGCTGCCCCCAACCTTCACATCCCTGACCAGTCCTTCTTTGTTTGTTAGTATGAGATCTAGAAGCACACCTCTCCCCTCATTGTTTCCTCTACCATCTGAGTCAAAAAGTTATTATCAATGTTCTGCAGGAACCTCCTGGACTGTGGCTGCTTGGCTGTGTTACTTATCCAGCAAATATCAGGTATCCTTAATATCCTAATCATCAATCTACTCTGCTTTTTCATTTTTGGCATACCAAGTCGAATCAAGGGTCTATTCTTGGATCTCTTCTGTTTAAACACCTGGTTAGAAGGCAGCATAGGCAAAATGAAGTACAGATTTATCCCTAATACCATGAATATAAACTTTCTTCAGGTTTGTAGTGTACTGAATACTTTTCACCCTGAGGATGAAAAATACCATCCAAATGATCCAGTGGGAGGACACTAATATGCTGACAGCAGAATGACTTGATGCTCTAAATCAACATGTTGAAGTGTCTGTAAGAGGTGCCTAAAATAAGACTGTTTTCTGCTCCATCATGTTGTTCTATTTATGCCCTAATTCATAAACATCAATACCAATATTATAACAGTATCACAGACACTGTTTTTATTTATGGAAATGCAGAACTTTGAAAATATTAGAGTGTTTTCCCCAATAAAGGGGAAATGATACCTTTTTTCAAAAGTGCAGCCTCTTGGTGTTACCTGTGGGCAAGAAGCTAAACCATTCCACCAATACCCAGACATGGAAACCAGATCCGTTAGACTGCTACTCTATTCTAACTTAGTAACTCTCTCTGCCATGCTGAGCATTGAAAGTGGTTGCTTTTAGCTTGTGCCATTTGAAGAACCTTACTTCATCCTTACTGATAACATTCCCTGTCAAATTCTACCACTGTTGTTCCCAGTTCAAGAACTGGCTGTGTTCCTTCAATTTCAAGCACCATTCTTAGAATCATAGAATGGTTTGGGTCAGAAGGGGCCTTTAAAGATCATCTAGTCCACCCCCCCTGCCATGAGCAGGAACATCTTTCAGTAGATCAGGTTGCTGAAAGCCCTGTCCAACCTGACTTTGAATGCTTCCAGGCATGAGGCATCCACAACTTCTCCTAGCAACCTGTTCCTGTATCTCACTGCCCTTCCTTATCTCTAACTTAAACCTATTCTCTTTCAGTTTAAAACCGTTGCCCCTTGTCCTGTCAGTACAGGCCCTGCTAAAAAGTCTCTGTCCATCTTTCTTGTAAGCCCCCTTTTTATATTGAAAGGCTGCAGGAAGGTGTCTCTGGAACCTTCTCTTCTCCAGGCTGAACAATGCCAACTGTCTCAACCTTTCTTCATAGGAGAGGTGTTTCAGCCCTCTGATCATTTTTGTGGCCCTCTCCTGGACCCACTTTAACAGGTTCATGTCTTTCTTATGCTGGGGGCCCCCAGAACTCAATGCAGTATTCCAGGTGGGGTCTCACAAGAGCAGTGTAGAGAGGCAGAATCGCCTCCCTTGACTTGCTGGCCACACTTCTTTTGATGCAGCCCAGGATATGATTTGCTGTCTGGACTGCAAGCACACATGGCCAGCTGACATACAATTTTTCATCCACTGCTATTCCCAAGTCCTTCTCCACAGGGCTGCTCTCAAACCATTCATCCCCTAGTCTGTACTGATCCTGCTGATTGCCCCAACCCAGGTGCAGGACCTTGCATTTGGCCTTATTGAACTTCATGAACTTCATGTTCGGCTGAACATGAGCCAGCATTGTGCCCAGATGACCAAGAAGGCCAACAGCATCCTGGCCTGTATCAGAAATAGTGTGGCCATCAGGAGTAGGGAAGTGATCATGCTCCTCTACACAGCACTGGTGAGGCTGCACCTTGAATAC